CAGTAAATGATACAGAAGTAGCATCACTATAAAAATGGCAATTCACTGTGCTTTTGAAAGGGTATTAGTTATATTATATCATGTAATATTAGTTATATTATTGTTTACATTTCAGTTTTGACTTGTAAACATCATTTCTCTTCACAACATACAATATAAATATCAATAGCAATTCAAAAGCTTGGTGTACTTTTTTATTAATACGTCTATTTAGCAATGATGCATAAAACTGCTCAAAAGTGAGAGTGGAGAGAAAATATTACAAAAGATTTCTATTTCAAATAAGTGATGTTCTGTTGAATTTTCTATAGAATCCTGAAAAACGTTTCCATGGTTTCCACAAATATATTAAGCAGCACAACTGTTTTCAACATTGATAATAATAAGAGCTGTTTCTGGAGCATCAAATCAGAATATTAGAATGATTTCTGAAGGATCAGGTGACATTGATGACTGAAATAATGGCTGCTGGAATTTCAGCTTTGCCATCAGGAATTTATTGAAATATATTTAAATAGAAAACAATTATTTAAAATTGTAGTAATATTTCACAATGCTGTTTTACTTTTGATTAAATGGAGTTTTGGTGAGAATAAGAGGCTTTAAATAAATAAATACATAAAAAAGTTATTGACCACAAATGTTTGAACGCTAGTGTAGTTTAACATTTGATGACCTCCTTCAGAACTGTCCCCTCCAGCTTTTAAAAAAAGAAGACACCCTTGACACTAATTGTGAAGTGGGTTCTTAGTCACATAGTGTGTACTTGAAGCCTAGTTTTCTAGACTAGCGCACTTTAATCATTTTATAAAAGTCTAATCACTTCAGTTCACAGTTAATGCTGCAAAAGTGCTTTGAGAACACTGTCATCCCAAAAGCAGCATTATCGCCTGGTTTTACTGCAGGAAATCTGTGGTGGTCTTTGTTTAGAACTCCCTTTGTACCTAAACGCACACTAATTAATTATTCAGTTACATTTGAGAGATTTACCATAATGGTTTGATGTGAAGTGGCTTTTCACTGTTCTCCATCCATTTTTTCCCTCTTTATTTTGTAAGAATTCTAGGAATCGTATGAATAGCTTTGCATATTTGCAGTATGATTTTCCATATGAGAAAAGGAGGATTTATACATACTGTAATAATGTTGCCTATAAAGATACCTTGTTTTAGTCAGAGTTGCATTGGGCTAAATGAGTAGTGTTTTCAGACTACATGTACTTTTAGGTTTTCAGTTTCCATTTAAATTTTAGTGTGTTAGTATTTTTATTTTTTTTTTTGTAGTAATTTTGTTACGTTTTTGTTATTTTTAATATTGCTATTTAGCTGAAATGTATTTTTATTTCAATTTTAGTTTTAGTAATTTTGGCACTTATTATATTTCGCTTAATGGCCAAAGCAACATCTTTCATTTTAATTGTTATCTAATATTTCATTTTATTTTAGTAGCTGATGAAATCCTTGCATGATAAGGATGCTAACTTAGATAGCTGCCTATGTAGACAGTAGTAAACAAGGTATCGAAACCTAAAGAGAGCTAAAGCCTCTGGATTTTGTAGAGGTGAACATAAGACTGACCGTGTCACCTCTGCTATCATTTTTTGTTGCAACACTGAAAACGATTTTAGTGCTAATATAGAAATGGTAAGATGATGAAGAGAGGAAGAGAGTTACGAGTACGCAAGTCAATTGCTCGTTCCTTTTAAGGAAATGGCCTAGTATACTACAAAGATTTACCGTTGTTGAAAGATTCAGGAGTAATGGCCAAGGTATTACTGTACACCATTTATTTTATAATGGCAGTGAATCATGTGGCATTTATGCCTGAGTCCTCCTCTTCTCTCTGAAGAGTGTGTGTGAAGAGGACAGCACGGAGTCAATAGCTTCACTCTGAGACATGCGTCCTCTAATAGCAGGTGGGAGGTTAAGTGCTATAATAAAACTACAAGGACCATGGCGGTCACTCTTCTTGGGGCCTTCTTGTTGTGTGCTGCCACACTGTAAAAAATGATATGATGAAAAAGCCATGACAACTTATGTTTTTAAGTTACTTTAACTCATAAAAATAATTTAAGCAATTTCAACTTTTTTTTACAAGTTATACTAGATTCAACTTGATTTTTTAAGTCAGTTTAATGTTACTGAAATTCAAAGAGCCCAATTTAGTTCAGTGAACTTAACATTTTAAGTTGTAGCTTATTGGCACTAACCGGCCGAATCTCTGGACATGGATTCATGCGCAGGAGTCAAATTTGTACATGAATTTAATATCAGAGTCCTTTCCAAGAAAAAAAAATATTCTGCAAATCTAGACATTAGACTCATGTTTGAAACATGAGACATCGCAGTGCAACATCAAACAAGGAGACACGGGC